ATGTGGTGGAGGCAGGTTCAAACAAAGTATTCAAGAGGGCATTGGATGATTATTTGGATAGAAATGGCGTGTTGGGATATGGGAAAAAGACAGGAGACTGGCACGATGCAGGCAAAATGGGCTGAATGGCCTCCTTCTGTGCCGTTACAATTTTGCACGACAAAAATTCTGTGACTTTGTGGGCAGGCAGTAATTGAAGTGATTGCAGACAAATTGGAGCCAACGATTTCTGTGTACAGATGCAGCTTTGTGGCAATAAGAAATTGATTAATAACTAGTCAGTAGTTCACAGACCGATGACAAAAGCCTTTTGCCTGTCAACAACCATGTGACTGGTCCTCAAGTAGCTGAACATCTTGGGGTTGGGAAAAAGATCCCAAGAAGTGTTTTGATCTCCACCAGTACAGGAAGCTGTTGCTCTGTTCTCTCTAGTTAAAACCCACTTTAAATCTGAAGAAAACAAGTTTATCTGCTCTTCAGCAGTTGCTGTGAACTTTAATTGTTAAGTCAGAGACCTTATATTAAGAGCCAGCCACCCTGTGCCTCTTACAAACCAATGAAAGCATCTGGAGAAAGAAGGCAGAAAAGCAATGTTCTGACCAGCATAAAAATCAGAAGGATGACTGAATGAACACATGAATAGGGACAATGAACTGCCTTCCAGTTTTCCTCTGCCTATAACAAATTTTTCTGTGTGTATATGCGTGCATGTGTGTGCTCGTGTGTGAGAGAGAGACAGGAGGAGTTTATCAGTGGATTAGAGCTTTAATTAGTGGCATTACTTAGTGATTGTTTACCTCTAGCTAGAGCCTAATTATTTGCAATATATAGTCATTTTTGTTCTGTACAGAAACTTGGTCTGTATTTTCTGTCATGCTGGCTCTGAAAGTCAGGTAAATTGGGGAATTTTGTGTACTTATGTTAAAATCTGTAACTTTTATGATTACCCCAGGAATATGGGCCTTGATTTTCAGAAAGCTACTCCTGTGAGGTTTAACAGAGTTTGGATGCTCGTTTGGGATAGGATTGCAAACAGAGGCAATAAGCATTTGAGTGCAGTCTTAGTAAACATCAGGTGTTGTGCTACATTTAAGATCTGGCATTAAGAATGACAAAGAATTTCCTACAGGTGGCAGAGTTGTCCCTCTTAAAGCATTCTAAAAGTAAATCTCAAGATCAAGGTTGATTGACTTGGTTGGCAAACTGGACACAGCTAACGGAGCCAAGAAGATAGGAATAATTGAAGTACTATCATGGCACTTGCATTTAGAGGTTTCATTTGATTTGATATATTATTGTCATATGTCCTGAGATACAGTGAAAAGTATTGTTTTGTGTGCTAACCAGACAAATCATACTTTACATAAGTACATCAGGGTATTAGAACAGAATGTAGAATATAGTGTTACAGCTACTGAGTAGGTGTAGAGAAAAATCAGCTCTAATATTGGAGATGTCCGTTCATAAGTCTGATAGCAGCGGGGAGGAAGCTGTTCTTAAATCTGTTGGTATGTGTTTTCAAAGCTTCGTATCTTTCGAAACAACAGGAAGTGTAGACACTGAATGAATGGAAGGCTGGTTTCTGTGATGGACTGGGCTGTGTTCACCACTCTCTGTAATTTCTTGCAGTCTTGGGCACAGCAGTTGCCATACCAAGCTGTATTGCATCCGGATAGAATGCCTTCTATGATGCATCTACTAAAATTAGTAAGACTCATTATGGACATGCCGAATATGAAATAAAAAATGAAACAAATATAGGTAACTAAATATTGGAGGCAGGTCATAACCATTTATGGTTAAAGCAGCCTGAGTAAGGGGAGAGAATGAAGAAACTAAAGGTAGAAGAAAAAGGTTAGGAAACAGCAATGTTAAGGACAGGGAGATGGAATTAAGAAAATCAGTACATGGAAATGAGAAATCTAGAAACTGGAAGTGGAAAGAGAAGATAAAGTAAATGAACATGAATATGAGCTTTAAAAGATGCAGTTGAAACAGGAGATGTCGGACGTTGATGCAAGCCCTGGTGGAGAGAATCTGAGCCATAATTTGATGTCCACTAAGAAAATGTTAAAGGTTGCACAAGCCCTGCTGATGTTCAAGGAAAATGATGTGGAGGCATTCTTCATGTCATTTGAGAAAGTAATGAGGCAAATGAATTGGCCAAAAGAGGACTGAACATTGCTCATGCAGAGCAAGTTGGCAGCTCAAGTACATGAAGTTTGTGCTTCTCTGTGAATTAGAGGTTTCTCTGGGTTATGATGCAGTGAAGAAAACTACATTGGCTGCAGACGAGTTAGTACCCAAGACATATATAAGCAAAGATTAATTTAAGAATTTAAGGAAGCAGCTTGGGCAAACCTATATTGAATTCTGTTTAGTCAAACAAACTAATTTGGCATGTGAGAATGAGAGGTTGAAAACACATATGAAGATCTTAGAGAGGTTATCTTAGAGTGATTTAAAATCTCGCTACCTTCCATTATAAGGACCAAAAGGTTGCAACTGTGAGGCAATAATGGCTGATGATTACGAATTAATCCATAAAAATAACCCTTTCCTTCTCAGATTTAATAAATTTGAACAGGATAGAAAATGGGAAAGTGGAAGGAAAGCAAGAAGCAAGGCTAAGGAATGGATAGCTGCGAATGCCCCAAGGTCTTCTCCTCCTTAGATCAAGGTCAAATATTACATGACACCGGGTTATACTCCAATAGGTTTATTTGAAATCACAAGTTTTCTCAGCGCTGCCCCTTCGTCAGGTAAAGGGAAAGTACTGAGGTGTTTCTATTCTAATGTTCATTTAGAATGCTAGATGACGAGAGGGAAACCAATGGGACTTATTGGAGTTCATAACAATGTAAGAAAAGGCTATGAATCAGACTGTAGCTTTAACTATAACTAAGAGACTGGAGATAGGCACTGCTGTGAGTGCAGTAGTAATACAGAGGGTAGATCAGAGATATGAAAGGCTTTTATCAAAAGGGAAGATCACTATAAGTCAATAAGATGGAGGAGTAGAAGTAGGCCATTCAGCCCATTGAATCTGCTCTGCCATTTAATGAGATAATGGCTGATTTGATAATCCTGAACTCCACCTTCCTACCTTTTCTCACACAACCCTTGATTCCCTTACTGATTGACAATCTATCTCAGGCTTGGATACACTTATCAACCCAGTCTCAACAGCCTCCTGCAATAAAGAATTCCCCAGAATCACTACCCTTTACTTAAGGAAATTCTTCTTCATCTGTGTCTTAAACATGTGACCCATTATTCTGAGATTATGACTGTCTGACATGGGAAACAACTTCTCCACATTTATCCAGTCAAGTCGCCTAAGAATTTTGTTTGTTGCAAGAACGTTGCCACGCATTCTCCTATTTTCTAGGAAGTACAGGCCCAAACTATTCAAATTCTTCTCATAAGACAGCCCCTCCATACTTAGTAGGAGCAAATTACTGCAGATAATGGAATCCGTGCTGAAAACAAAAATGCTGGAGATCACAGTGGGTCAGGCAGCATCCATGGACAGAAAGCAAACTAACATTTCAAATCTACATAACTCTTCATTCAAGTTGATATGGAGTGGGGGAGGGCAGCATTTACACTATAGTTGAGGGGGGTTTGGTTGGGGTGCTTGGGGGAGAAAGGATGTTGATTGTTCAGATAAAGTGATTGGAATGTGTCACTTAATCTGAGCTATCAATGAAATGTTAGCTTTTTCTCCATGGATGCTGCCTGACCTGCTGTGATTTCTAGTATTTTTTGTTCCCTCCATACTTGGTATCAGCTGCTATGAACCTTCTCTAGACTGCCTCCAATGCCAGTATATCTTTCTTTACATAAGGAACCCAAAACTGTTCACAATATTTCAGCTGTGATCTGACTAGTGCTTTGTATAGTTTTAGCAAGACCTCCCTATTGTTATACTTCATTCTCTTTGAAATAAAGGCCAACACTCCATTTGCCCTCCCTACTACCCGTTAAACTTTGTTGCTGAATTTTTGTGATTCATGGAAGAAGATTCCCAAATTCCTCTGATCTGTATCTTTCTACAGTCTTTCTCAAGTTTAAATGATATTCATCTCCTCTATTCTTCTTGCCAAAGAGCATAACCCCACATTTTCCCACATTATATTATCTGACAACTTTTTCCCACTCATTTAATCTGTCTATACCCCTTTGCAGACTTTGTGCTGCAAACATTTGCTTACTCACCTATTTTTTGTGTCATGCACAAATTTGACAACTGTACATTCGCATTTCTCATCCAAGTCATTATATATATGGAATAATTGTGGCCCAGTACTGATTCCTGTTGCACACCATTATTACAGGCTGTCAACCTGAAAGTGAAAAACTTATTCCAACTCTGTCTTCAATTAGTTAGCCAATCCTCTGACCATGCAAATACATATTACCCACAATACTTATGAGCTCTTATTTAGCCTTGTGCATGGTACCTTATTAACGAGCTTCTGAAACTCCAAATATATCCACTGCTTCCCCTTTATCTGTCCTCCTTGTTCCTCCTCAAATAAGTGTAGTAAGTTTTTCAGGCATGACTTCCCTTCATGGTGCCATGCTAACTCTGCTTGATCATATTATGACACATTTCTACTGAGTCATATGCAGACACACATAGAAAATTAATGTTAGGCTTATAATAAATATTTAACATAAAATCATCTTTAGATTTGCATTATAAGAGGGATGTTGGTCAGATCTGTGGATTTTTTTTAAAAAGGTCATAAAGTCATTCTGGAACAGGATCTTAAAATATATCATTTCCATTATTAGTTCCTCAGCAGCCCAACAACTTCCATTGTATCATTCAACACTCGATATCAGAAGATAAATGTTATGAACGTTTGCCCATTGCCTCTGTACTCTTACATCACAGCAGGTTTCCCTCCTGGGAATGGTACCTTTGAAGGAGCAATTTACGATTGACTATATTCACAATGACCAATCTTGGCATCCACACAATCTTGTACCTTGTTGCCCACAGCTTCAGCTAGTTCTCCAGCTTTCTCCACAACCTTGAGGGCCTATAAAACAATAAGTGTGAAATCAAGAGGGATAACCAGTGTAAATCCAGATATACCCTCTGACACTGCAGCGCTCCCTCAGTACTGACCCTCTGACAGTGCAGCGCTCCAACTCAGCACTGACCCTCTGACAGTGTGGAACTTCCTCAGCGCTGCCCCTCCAACAGTGCTGCACTTCCTCAGCGCTGACCCTCCAACAGTGCTGCACTCCCTCAGTGTGGACCCTCTAACACTGCGGCGCTCCCTCAGCACTGACCCTCTGACAATGCTGCACTCCCTCAGTGTGGACTCTCCAACAGTGCAGCATACCCTCAGTACTGACCCTTCAACACTGCAACACGCCTTCAGTATTGATCCTCTGACAGTGTAGCACTCCCATAGTATGGACCCTCCAACACCCCTTTTCTGTTCTTCAGTTCAACTCATGTGAGCTGATTTCAAAAAAAATATTCTTACGTGGGATGTGGATGTCACCGTCTGGGTCAGGGTGATTTATTGCCCATCCTTAATTACCAGAGAGTATTTCAGACTCAACCACATTGCTGTGGGCCTGGAGTCACATGTAGACCAGAGCAGGTCAGAACAGCAGTATCTATTTGTGAACCAGATGGGTTGTGAAGATAGTTGACAGTAGTCACATTGTTGTCATTAGATGAGCTTTGTTTAAAATAAGTGTCAGATTGGTATTGAATTCAAATATGATCATCAGCCATGGTGGGATTCAAATGCATGTCCCCCTAGCCTGGGGATCTGGATTACTAATCCAGTGATATTACACTGTCCCCCATTTGATGATTCCTCTGACCTATCACACCCACTTTCAGCTATAATCATTTCATTGATCAGTTTTCTGGCATTCCCCCCTTTATCCTCTTCTCTATCTTGGATGCCAAATTGGGAAACACTCAATAGTGAGAAGATGGTTACAGAAGAAACATTCAAACATCAGACACTGAAAGGATATTGAGGAGCGGGATCAGAGAAGAATTAGAATGGTGATCCAAGGAATATCCATATCAGGAAAAGACCGACAGGCTGGTATCTTCTCCATTCACAGCAGAAGCTGAGAGCTAGAGATCTCTAAAACTGTGAAAGGTTATGAATTTCACTAGATGAATTTAGAACTCTGACAGGAGACTTAGCACCTCTGTTTGTTGCCACATCACCTTGTGTAGGCTGACAACAGCCAATTTCTCATGTTCTGCCAACCCAGTTTAATGGTCACCCCACACATGTATTACTGAAATAACATCAAACCTTCTAGATGCGCTCTCTGCTCACCTCCACCACTTCACAGATGGGTGCCAGCTACCTGGTTTTCAGAACTGGTTTTCAGAACACGTGGAGTTAGTCAAGGAGGGTGTTAACACAGGGATCATGCCACCCAGCTATCGGTCAGAACATCAGCGAGATCAACAGCACACAGAAAGGCTCTTTAGCCCATCACTTCTGTGTTAGTCAAAAACAACTATTCTAAAGTCATTTTCCAGCACTTGGCCCATAGCCTTGTAATGCCTTGGCATCGCAAGTGCAGATCTAAATATTTCTTCAATGTTATGAGGGTTTCTCCCTTGACCACGCTTACAGGAAGTGACTTCCAGATTCCCACCACCCTCTAGGTGAAAATGTTGTCCTCACATCCCCTCCAACCTTCGGCATATTATCTTCAAGGTATGCCCCCAGCTCATTGATCCCTTCGTCAAGGGGAAAAGTCCCTATCTATGCCCCTCATAATTTTAGACATCTCAATCAGGTCCCTTCTCAATGTCCTCTGCTCTAAGGAAAACAACCCCAGTCTGTCCAATCTCTCTTCATAACGAAATCTCTCCAGCCCAGGTAACATCCTGGTAAATCTATTCTGCACCCTCTCCAGTGTTATCACATTCCTCCTATAATGTGGATTCCAGAACTACACATTGTACTCTAGCTGTGGTCTAACCAACATCTTATACAGTTCCAGCATAAGCTCCCTGTTCCTAAACTCTATGCCTTGTCCAATAAAGAGAAGTACCCCTATGCCTTCTTATAGCCTCTTTATGCACCTATCCTGACATCTTGACACACCATGCACACCAGGGTCCCTCTGACCCTCAGTACTTCCCAGGGTCCTATCATGCATCTTGTATTCCCTCGCCTGGTTTGTCTCTGCCCCAGTGCCTTATTTCACATTTATCCAGGTTGAATTCCATTGCCATTGACCAGCCTACCTAAGTGGCTCCTCACTATTTACCATCCTACCTATTTTTGTATCGTCTCTGAACTTACTGATCAACCCTCCTACGTTCAAGTCTGAATCATTTATATAAACCACAAACAGCAAGGACTCCAACATCGTACCCTGTGGACCTCACTGGACACAGACTTCCAGTCGGAAAAACACTTTTTAATCATCACTCTCTGCTTTCTGCCACTCAGCCAATTATGGATCCATTTGCCAGATTTCCTTGGATCCCTTGGGCTCTTACCTCTGCTATCAGTCTCCCATGCAGGACCTCATCAAAAGCCTTGCTGAAATCCAAATAGATGGCATTAAAAGCATGGTCCTCATCTGCACACCTGGCCCCTCTTCAAAAAAAATTCAATCAAGTTGGTCAGACATGACCTCCCATAACAAACAATGTTGACTGCTCATAGTCAATCCATGCCTCTTGAAGTGCTGATTAATTGAGTCCCGCAGAATTGCTGGTGTTGTCTCCTACCTTGTCCTGCTCCTTCTGAATGAACCAGCACTTGGCAATTCCCAAAAGAACCTGTGCCTGCCCCAGACGGTTGCCAATTTCGGCCATGATATTCAGCGAGGAATCGTAACGGGGTAGAGCCTTCTGCAAGGGACAGATAACATCATTAATTCCATGAATTCTTGGTGTGATAACCCCTACAAGGCCATTGGGGAATCATTGCTTAATCTCCCTGTGGAGCTTGTAGAGTATGATTTCCCTTGGTTATAGGCAATGGTCTGCCTGACTGGAACTCAACACTTGATCCCTTTATAAAGAAAACTCAAAGGGCTCTTGTGATGCAGTGAAAGAGTCCCTGGACCAGAGAGGCCCAGGTTCAAGTCCCACCTACTCCAGAGGTGTGTAATAACATCTCTGAACAGGCTGATTAAAAAATATGACAAAGCAGACCCACTCCCTCCGCACCTCTCACTTTTGATGGTTTGCATTGTCCGTAACGAGCTTTGCATGTAAATAATCGATTGGCCACACCGGTAATCTACTGGTGGTGGTTAGGAGTTGGGGAAAATGTCAAGCTGGTGGGGAAACTATTCAGTTGAGTACGACAGCCTTCCGGGTATAAAAAAAAGATAAAGCAGACCCATGGATGGCTCTGCAGAACCATCCGTCCTGAGCTAGGTCAGGTCTGTGTATGCCACATGTAGTGTACGGTTTAATCTAGCTGGCAGCCCCAGAGGCAATATCCTTTGAGAAACTGACAGAAATGGTAGCCGAGCACCAAGACTACAAACCATTTGTCATACTGCAGTGTTGCAGGTTTAGCACAGCACATGAATTGGTCCCTTAAATGCCCCTATCGTATCTGCCCCCACCACCACCCCTGGCGAAGTACTTTGGTACTCCTGGTACTTTGTCTCCACAAGCTGAGGTTGATCCTACCTATGTTCTTATGTCAGATTGGTGAGGATGAAGTCAGGTACATTATATCCTCTTCTTGGTTCCCTCACCACCTTTCACAGGCTCAGCCTAGCGGCCAAGCCCTTTAGGACTCCCAGAACTGAACACAATACTCCAAATATGGTCTCATCAATAATTTATAGAGGTGTAGTATCACTTCCTTGCTTTTATCCTCAATGCATCTATTTATAAACCCAAGGATCCTCTAAACGTTAACAACTGTTTCAGCTCGCCTGGCCACCTTCAGAAAATCAAGTACGTGAACTCCAGGGTCCCTCTGCTCCTGTACTCTCTCAAAGTTTTACTATTAAGCCTGTATTGTCTCTCCATGTCTCTTCTACCAAAATGCATTACCTCACATTTCTCTGTGTTGAATTTTATCTGCCAGGTGTCTGCCCAGTTGTCCAACTTGTTAATGTCCTTCTGAAGTTACTCAGCATCACCCACACAGTTTAATAATCTGCCCAGTATAGTATCATCTGCAAATTTAGAGATTTTGCCCTCAACACCCATCTCCAAATCAATTACATAAATCAGGAGTAGGCATGGGTCCCAACACCGAACCCTGGGGAACTCCACTTACAACTCATCTCCAATCTGAGAAATGCCGTCCCTTTATCACACATAACTCTCCTCTGTACCTTTACCAATTGCCAGAAATCACACGACATCAGGTTAGAGTCCAAGAGGTTTATTTGACAACACAAGCATTTGGAGTCTTACCGGAGGAAACCCATGCAGACACGGGGAGAATGTACAAACTCCACACAGACAGTTGCCCGAGGGTGGAATTGAACGCCATTTCCTGGCGCTGTGAGGCAGCACTGCTAACCACTGAACCACCGTGCCGCCCAACGTGAGGGAGTGGATCGTTATCAACTCCTTTGTCTGACAAACTGTTCTTCTCTTTCTTTAGGCTCTATCCTAACATTTACTCCCTACCCCACCCCCCTCCCTATTTTAGAACATAAAACATAGAACAGTACAGCACAGTACAGGACCTTCGGCCCACGATGTTGTGCCGAACTTTTACCCTAAACCTAAGGTCTATCTAACCTCCACCTCTACCTTATACTAACATCCATATGTTTATCTAATAGCCGCTTAAATGCCCCTAATGAGGCCGACTCCACTACCTTCTCTGGCAATGCATTCCACGCCCTGACCAGTCTGAGTAAAGAACCTACCTCTGACGTCTCCCCTATATCTACCTCCACTCACTTTAAAACTATGCCCACTCGTAATAGCTACCTCCACCCTAGGAAAAAGTCTCTGGCTGTCCACTCTATCCATACCTCTGATCATTTTGTACACCTCTATCAAGTCACCTCTCATTCTTCGTCATTCTAAAGAGAAAAGCCCTAGCTGTATCAACCATTCCTCGTAAGACCTTCCCTCCATTCCAGGCAACATCCTGGTAAATCTCCTCTGCACCTTTTCCAATGCTTCCACATCTTTCCTGTAATGAGGCGACTAGAACTGGACACAATATTCCAGATGTGGCCGAACCAGGCTTTTGTATAGCTGGAGCATAACTTCATGGTTCTTGAACCTCTCTGCATATAAACTGACATTTTCCCAGTCACCAGCAGTTCTGACGAAGGGTCACCGGACCCGAAATGTTAACTCTGATATTTCCTTCACAGATGCTGCCAGACCTGCTGAGCTTTTCCAGCATCTTCTGTTTTTGTTCCTGATTTACAGTTCTTTCGGTTTTTACCAACTTTTTGTATATTTCTTACATCTTAGTTACTATTCAGGTGTCTGTAGATCTCTCCCACTAGTGACTTTTTTTCCTCTGCTGTTCCTCATCCTCACCCAAATGGTCATTTCTAACTGTAGCACAATACTACCAGTGCTAGCTGTCTGCCTCATGTCAGCCTTGGTTCGATGCTCCAGTTTCCTCCCACAGTCCAAAGATGTGCAGGGTAGGTGGACTGGCTAAGCTAAATTGCCCGTAGTGTCCATGGATGTTTAAGTTAGGTGGGTTAGACATGAGGTAAATGCAGGGGTAGGGGAATGAGTCTGGGTGGGATGCTTTTCGGAGGGGCAGTGTGGGCTTGTTGGGCCAAATGGCCTGTTTCCATACTGTAGGGATTCTATGGTGAACCTGAGATGCTGTTAAATCTTTAATCAGTTAGAAAGTTTTAACTGATTAATATGTATATTAAATCCCTGAATTCCTTTCAAGTCACTGTCCTGACAGAATCAAAGGTTTTATCAGTGTAAAGAAGAGGTGACATATTAGATCAAACAAAATGCATGTTAGGTATGAGGCCTTGTTTAGAATCCGTTTGTGTTTTGGTTTGGAGTCAGGCCAGTTTTATTTCTAAAGTAGGAATGTATAAAATGCCAAATTGATTGACTATCTATAAATTGTGTGCTTTTTGAACAGAATAGAATGTATCTGCAAATACAAATTCACCTCATAGATTCACGTATGCGTGTGCGTGTGTGTGTGTGTGTTTGTGAGAGAAAGAGATAGAGTGAGTGTGTGTGTGTTGGGGGAGGGGAGGGAGAGAGAGAAAGAATGCATGTGTGGGAGAGAGAGAGTGTGTGTGTGCACGTGTGGGAGCAAGAGTGTGTGTGTGTGTAGGGGAGAGACACAGTGTGTGTGTGAGGAACAAGAGAGAGACTCTGCGTGTGTGTGTGCGTGTGCGTGCTTGAGAAACAGTGTGTGGATGAAAGAGATCTGTGTGTCAGGGTGTGTGAGAATGCGTGTGTGTATGTGTGTGTCTGTGTCTGTGTGTGTGTGAGTGTATATTGTGGTGGGGGCACCTGTAGGCCACCATGAATCCAAGATCCCAGTTGAGGCCGTCCTAATGGGTATCGATCTTTGCTATCAGCCTCTGCGTTGTTGTTTACCTGAAGATCCGAGGCCGAATGTCCTTGACCACTGAGTGTTCCCCCACTGGGAGGGAACATCCCTATCAGGCAATTGTTGCGCAGTGTCCATTGATCCATTGTCATAGCATCTGCATGGTTTTGCCAATACACCATGGGCATCCTTGCCTGCAGCGTATGAGATAGACAATGTTGGCCAAGTCACATGAGTATCTGCCATGCACGTGATGGGTGGCGTTCCCATGTATGATGGTAGTATCCACATTGAAGATCTGACATGTCTTGCAGAGGTTGCCATGGCAGGGTTGTATAGTGTCGTTCCCCCAACCAATACACACACGTGAATCTATCGGGTGAATTTGTATGTGCAGATACATTCTATTTTGTTCAAAAAGCACACAATTTATAGACGGTCAGTCAATGTGATGTTTTATAAATTCCTACTTTAGAAATAAAACCGGTCTGACTCCAAACCAAAACAGATTCTAAACAAAGCCTCACACCTAACATTCATTGTCTGGCCTAAAATGTCACCTCCCTTTTTACGCTGATAAAACCTTTAGTTCTCTCAGGGCAGCGACTTGAAAGGAATTCAGGGAATCACCTATATATATTAATCAATTAAAACCTTCTAACTGATTAAAGATTTAACAGCATCTCAGGTTTGTTTAATACATCCTGATCAGTGGCATGACCCTTTGATCTTTTACTTATAAATCCTGTGTTCAATACAACCTCTCTCACTAACACCTAAAGGAGGAGAGAGGCTCCAAAAGCTTGTTTTCAAATAAACCTGCTGAATTATAACCCGGTGTCATGTGATTTCTGACCTTGTCCACCCTAGTCCAACACCGGCACCTCCACATCATGTTTACCACTTGTCACTCTCTCTTGTCCCTTTTCTTTCTGTAACTATTTCCAGTTTCTATGTACATGTATCCCTCCCCTGTCCCTTTGCCTCCTGTCCTTTCACCACGTGTCACTCTCTCCTGCCCCCTTTACCACCTTCAACTCCCTCCTGCCCTTTTACACATGTAATGCTCTCCTACCCTTTTACCACCTGCTTTAGCACCCATCACTCTCTCCTGCCCCTTTTACGCCTTCCCTTTTCCCACCTGTGAACTCATGGTATTTTACTGGATTTTCTGGCTAGCTCTTTCCAGTGCTGTCACTACGAGATACTGGAGTCCAGGCCCAGCGTTGCACACTGGGGAGTTTTGGGTGACTGTGGATCAGGGACATGCTTATTTAGCCCAATTACTTAAGAAGGAACGCCACCCACCATTGAGCACCAAAATAGAGCCACTAATAGTGGCGTACACAGACTAGTCCCAGGCTAGGGC